AGGATAGTGTTATTTTAACAAGCCTTTAGGTGAATTAGTTTTACAAAATTTTTTCTTCGCAAAAATGTTTTGTAACAATATTATTAGCCGACCACCTAAAACGGGCAGGGGGCTGCATTGTTGAATGGTATCCGCAGAAAGGAAAATGACCGCTAAGATGGCCAACGAAGAGGTTGCACGCATGTATCGAACAGGCGGCGGTTATTAACAGAAGGTATGCAGTCCAGGATCAAAGAGCCTGGCATAGCTGTGCCAACATACGGGATCATCTCAGTAATATCAATAAAATGGCATAACCTCACTTATATGCCGTGAAGTCTTATTATTTTGAATATTATTTATTAATTACTGAACAGAAGCTTTGGCAGCAAAAAATATTAAATGACTGAATGAAAATACTGATTAAAAATGGCAAATCATTGTTTTTTCCAGGAAAAAAACTGAGATCTGCTTTTTTTTCCTCCGTAGCTAAACAACAAGCGGTCATATACTGTGACATTTAACTTAGCCTGGGGTAATCGCGCTAGGCGTTTTTTTTGTGCCTTAGTAGCGCTGATTTCCTAGCAGTGAAAATCTGAGCTTTGGTCGAAGCCGTCTGCTAAATTCGTTTAGCTCCTTTAACTTTTTGGCTTTATAAATTTAAATTTTTGCTCACAAATTTCCCCTTTTCATTACTGTAGGCGGACATGACCGATATGGCAGAAATATGCAAAGCTGCAGGCATACCAATCTACTGGAAACGAGCAGTTTATGACTCGTGCTGCAGCAGCCAGTCAAGCCCAATCACTTTGGCCGATTTTGCGGCCTGGTGGAACAGGTAGCGTTTGAATCAGCATTGTCCAAAGAAAAAAGAAAAGCCGTACGAATTTTGTATTTTTGAATAAAAATAGCCGTTTGCGACAAAACGTTCTGGCACTTTTACCGTAATTTTTCGATCGATTTGGGCTTAAATTTCTTATGAACTTATATTTTGTTTTTCGGTTCAATTTTCGGTAGAGCTTTGCATCTTTCAGTTGAGTTTGGTTTTTAAGCAATTTCCATCTTCTTTTTTTGCTAAAATCTTTATTTCCTGAATTTTGAAGAGTTCTGAATCCTGAAAAAAGATAGATGATACAAATTCTTTAGGAGCCGCACTTTGCAACTTTTCTGAAAAAAGCTATTAGTATGCTCGAAAAATAACTTTTTTCAGGATTCGAAAGACAAAAAGGTGGAATATTTCCATTTCAGGATGACATCAGTGGCTCACGACGAAGCCGCTCGATTTGTGTATACTCTTGCAGGCCCACTTCGCAATTTTCTTACTAAAGATGATTTCGCGCCGATCTTACAGGATCTCATTGAGACTTTCCCAGGCTTGCATTTTCTGCGTGAGGCCCAGGAATTTCACTCCAGATATGTGGAAACGGTTTGTTTTTGTTAGCTGATGTAAAAGCGTTTCCTGCTGTCCGAGCGCTACCAAGCTTAGGAGCATAAAAATACTCATTGTTTCCGAAAAATAAATACTAAGAAAGAATGCTAAGAAATATAGTAAGCAGGTCGTGGCGGTTCGTATTTCCAAAGCTTGGAAACATTAAAAACACCATAAAACCATCGTAATAAAAACAGGACTGGACCACTGTGGCGTCATAAAAACACCGTAATCAATCTAGCCTTGGCACTAGTTGCACATGGACTTATATTTAAAGCTGAAAACAAAAAATACTCTCTTCCATCGCTTCAGCAAGATGGCACTTTTTAGTGACCTTCAATTAATTGCTTTCTCAATTTTCGAATTTACTTGTACCTCCGCTTATAGCTGGAAAGCCAAGATCGCCAGGACGATTGTTACTGGCCAGGACGATTGATGTTACTGGGACGTTTCCACATAGACTAGCTTAGCCATGCCAAGCCACTCAATTCTGAGCTGCATACCTTTCCAAGTTGGTACCCGGCGCCTGTTTGATGTGTTTTCCTCACCTGTTACAGGGTCGCCTGAATGGTCGTTTACTTCCTCGAAGAGTACCACTTACTAATGCACAACGCCCACCAATTGTCAGCAATTTCCGAAAGATTCGGGAATTGATAAAAAAAAATATAGTGCCAGAGCGTCACGAAAATTTCTGCGGTTTGATTGCGGATGAAATGCCGGTTATTCTGAAATCACGCCGGAACTTGACTAGTGGTGCTGCGTTAGCCATTTGTGAAGCAGAAATTATGCATGCAAAATAGTGGTTTATTTTGATTTGGTAAGAGGTGGGACCTAGTAGACGAGGCAGGTGGGACAAAAACAAAAAAATGTTGCAGAAAAACACAATTTTTAGAAGGAAACCTTCATGTATTCACCTCCGTGTATTCGTATACAAAAATGACACAGAAGAGACTTACTGATCCCGAAACAGCGGACGGTTTTTATAGTGCTAGCATGGAATTGCAATTTTAATTCAGCTTTATAAAACTATCAGTGATAGCGTTAGGCTGATCACAACAAAGTAACCGCTAATCGTGACCGTGAGACGAGGAGATTAGAGGAGGAGGAGGGGGACGTTAAGATCATCGGTGGATCGAGATTCGTAGTAGTCATGCGAACTTCGCCATCTGAAGAGATTTATTCTGTTTCAGGTAACAGTAAGGATATTTTGGACGCTGAATCGATCATGGACCGGACGAATAACAATCAATGAATTGCGCCGATCAAATTTTTTGGAGGTTAATTGGACGCATTTTTTTGTATTTTTTCGTCAAGCCGGAACAAAAAATGCATTCTGTAAAGATTTTGTCGGAATATGTTTGTGTTTGTATGTGTTCGTGCATGTGAAAGTGTGCATGTGTGTATGTTTTTTGTGGAGCATCAGTCAAAATCTGCAACTAGGTGAGTTAGGAGTAGAAATTTTTTGGAAATAATCTTCAGAAGTTGTAAAGCTTGAAGTCAGTTTCCGAATTCAGAAATATGTTTTATGAGAACTGTTATAATATGTATGAATATTTTTGTGAGGAAATTGGAGTTAAGATTTGGCGGACTGACTTAATCCACTGTACCGCACGCATCTTTTCTTGGTTACTCGAAATGAAGGACAGGAGTTACTGTTGCTCGGAAATAATGGAAAGGTTCAGCCTTCCTCGAAATAACTTGACTCGAAACACACAGTCGCATCGGCTTCTTAACATGAGCCTCAATGGATAACAGTCACATTGCTTAGCTAATTGTTGCGAGAGCCTCACGGAATGTTGCTGCGAAACTTTAGCTAAATACAACGGCAGGACGAACGCGGTCGTGTCATTCTACGCCCATCCAGAGACCTTACCTATCACTATTATTATGCAAACGTGTACCCTCTCTCAAGAAGTTTTCCAAGTATCGTTTCTGTTCTCGGCTTGTTATTGTCAATTTTCCATATGAATAATTTTTTTCAAAAAAAGCGCAGGCTTTTTTAAAGGTTTCCATTGTGAGTTATCCAGTATTCTGTATTTCCATCCGGTGGTTTAGATTTAAATGGCTTCAAAAGGTTTAGACTGGCAGTTTTTGAAAAGTTTACATTTTTCTTTCTTAACATTTTCTTGGAAAAAAATTTGCAGACTGGACTTTTTCATGTTTTTTTTTAAACTTCCATTGCTGGTTTTTTCAGATTTTTCGCGTCTTTTTTTACTGCTGTACTTTCAGACGGTCAGGAAGCTGGAAACAACGGATGACATCAATGCAATAACAAATTATTTTAGCTACGAGCATTTCTATGTTATTTACTGCAAATTTTATGAGCTTGACAAAGATCACGATTTGATCATCAGTAAAACTGATATGGCGCAACATGCCAACGGTGGTAAGTGAATGTTGTTGAGGACGTTTTTCGATTAGTGTGGGGGTGGGGTCATGGTAGAAGAGGAAGAAAATGTACATTCTTACAATGAGGCATCATCATTTAGCTAATGTGAGCCCCCTTTTAAGTAAGATCATAATCTTCTATGTCAGAATGTAAATTTACGCATAAGCTCATGCGTATCTTCAGTTTCCAAGTTTTGAAACACTCTGTAGTTCCTTTCGTATCTTGACTGCAAAACGCAGTCCTCCACAAGTCGACAGTTTGGTAAATTTCGACTTCACGTATCGCAGCTTTTAAAACCTACTTTTATGCGCACCGCTGTTATGTGCGTTGTTCAGAGGTCCTACATGTGAAGACCGTTGGTTCGATTCCTTCCCGACCCATAACCATTTTCAAAAGAAGGCTCTATCCGCTAGGTGTACTGCAGTTTAAGAACATAAGTGTGCTTTAAAACTTTAGTCAGGGACATCGTGTGGTATTTTTGACACTTGAATTTTTCGTGTGGTACTCCACTTCTTTTTCTAACATTTTAGTTTTTTTTTGTAAATGGAAAATTTTAGTTTTGAATGTGTTAACTTCATTTTCAGCCCTTCCGCCGCAAATAATTGAACGAATATTCAGTGGAGCGGTAACGCGTGCCCCGCCCGGTCGACATCCTCGTGAAACACTAGAAACAATTGGTTACACTGACTTTGTAGCATTTTTGCTCGCCGAAGAGGACAAACGTCATCCGACTAGGTAAACTTTTTCAAACTGACGCCTTTACTTTCACAGTTTGATTAGCTGATGTTTCATCCTGGCGTTCCTTGCTACATTTGCCGTAAAATCTTTTTTTTACCTTAAACTTGAATAATATAACCGATGCAGCAGCTTTCAGGATAATGCTTGGGTCTCTGGGATGCAGGTACCAGCTGTTACCACCGGCTCCTATTAGTAATATTCCCCTACTTTTTTGTTTCGCAAAAATTTTGCACCTTATAAGTACTGTAGAAATTTTAAAGATACAAACAATGTATATCCTTGACTAGGTAATTGGAAGAGGACGGGGTCCTGAAATCTTCTGTGTGTTAACACATACAGTTTGTTTAGCGTTGTTGGCCTTTGTTTCTGCAAAGCACACATAAAGTGGAGAAATTTCGTTTTCCTTCCGGTTCATAACAGTTCGAGAAGGAAAAGCTAAAAAACTCGTGCAGCATTCCTTCTAAAAATTGCTGAAAAATCTAAACAAATTTTTTTCT